TTAGCTAAATTTCTTGAGTTTAAAATTACTTTAATATAACAAATTTCAAATATAAAACCATATATTAACATATAAGTGTGACAAATAAAAACCTAGAATAATAATTTTTTAATTACTATTTTAGACTTTTATTTAGTATTACTTAATTTCTTAGTTACAGGTCTTATTTATTGTATTAGATTAATAACATTTTATTAATATTTATTTAGATATAACATTTGTTATCTTTATTATTATTTAATTTTGGACTAAAAATATTAATAGGTAAAAATAAAATAATTGATTTCTTGAATAGTATGATTTATTTATATTTTATTTGTTTATTATTATATGTTTTAAATATCATAACATTCTGTATAATGGATTCATATTTATTCAGTTGATATATAAAAAATATATATTTATTAAATTAGAATTTATATTTTATACAATGCATTTTAAAATATAAAAATAATTTTTTTTTGTTAATTTTTTATTTTATTTTAACAAAGTTAATAGAACTATATATGTAGTAATTATCTGAATTATAAATTAATAGTATATGTTATATATAAAATGAATATTATAATTTTGTTATTATAATTTAGATGTAAGTTCTTATTAAGAGCATATTATGTAAACTGGATGTTTTATAAAATTATATATATATTTGTTATATTGAAAGTACATATAGTAAACTAGATGTTTTATAAAATTATATATAAATTCATTATATTAAAAAACCTTGATAAATCAAAATATAAATATAACAAAGCAAAACTCTCAAATCTAGAGCTTTATTATATTGAGATTATATTATATATTAATTATTTTAGACAACTAAAAAGACAAGTTGATTCTAGTAATGCCTTTTTTTTAACTTTACTAAATAATTATTTATTTAAAAATTATAATCTGAATTTTTTATTAATATGCAAGCTAATAAATCTGTTAATCGAAATGCTGCTATTAATATTGTAAAATAATAAGAAACTAAATATATAATAGTTTTCAACACCATTATAGAAACAGACCAAGTTATTAAACAATTAACAGATCAGATTACCAAACTCAGTATTAACTTAGTTTAATAACAACTATTACTCTAATATCAACCTACTAACTATATAACTATATCTAATTCTAATAGGTCTACTGTCTCTATTGTAAATAAACTAAATACTTTATTTGTTAATATAGAACTAGATAAATGAAATAATAATTTAATCAAAGAGATAATTATAAAAAAATTAATAGATGTAATTAGAAATCTTGTTCTCATAGTCATCATAAATCTTATTATCAAAATCCTTTCAGAAAAAGAAGAAACTCTAGAGAAATAAGCAGATACACTAATTTATATAATGATGATAGAAGAAGAAGTAGTTTTTACTTATCTTTACTCTATTACAGAGATGTTAACTATTTTGATCATGAAGATTCTTCTTCTGCTTTTTCTGTTACTATATTAAAGAAATAAAAATAATTTTTTAATAACCTATTTATTTATACAACTATGTTTGCATATTTGTATAAAAAAATTAAAAATACCAACTTAGTTCAATTATTTACCTATACTACCCTTGTGAAATGTAATATTTGACTTAGAAACTGACTTTACCAAGTTATTATAAACAATGATGATACTATTAACATAATTACTTATCAGATTGTTAAGAAACTAGGACTTAAAATAGAACAGATCTTTGCTAACCTAATCATTACAACTATTGATATTTCTACACACTCTTTAAAAATCATTAAATATTTTTCTGCAAAAATTAAATGAATGACTATCTCAATCACTGTTAAAGTTGTTCTTGCTACCTCTTACTTCCTTCTTCTTGGTAATGACTAATCCAAAAAAATTGATGCCAGTTATAATTGAAAGAATGATTGTTATTCATTCAAATGAAATAACAAGAAGATTTCAATACCAATGACTGATAAAAGTGACCATATATTACCTGCTCAACCAACAGTAACAGACCCAAAAAGGCTTGACCTCTATGAATAAGAATTCCTTACTCTGCATGAAGCATACACTGCTCAGCTCAACTCAGAAACAGACAACGAAGGATGAACTGTCTGCATGTTCATCGTATCTTGAACTCAATTCATTAAAAAGTTCTAAAATAATTTGGCTATAAATACAGTATGTTGAGTGGAAAAATATAACTGTCTAAATTTTGGAAAATAGTTAATTAAAATCAATTTAACGTTAGCATTAGAAGTTAGCATTAGAATGTTAAATTTATAAAATTTCTAGTTCAATATGTTCCGGTTTTAATGAATTAATAAATTGTTGATATTCAGTGATTCCGGCAATTTTAGTATACATTTGGAATTTACTCTGTAAAAATGAAATAAATGCGATTGATTATCGTGATAAAATTTTACTTAGAGTCGGAATAAATGATTGAAATATTTGCAAAAAAAGTTGAATGGAAGGAATTATTTCAAATTTAACTGGATGACTTTTATATCAATGGGATTTATTTCTCGCTTATACTAGACTTAAAATAGTGACCGTAAATGTTATTTGATAATATTGAATCTTGATGCTTTCATCGGGTATATTACAATGATTAGTTAAATTACTATAAAAATTGAAATTATATCGTAGTATCGGTATATTAGAGATAATGCATAAAGCTGGTTAGCATATTTTATAATACGTCAAGAGTAAAATGTTCAAGATATAAATTTAGCTAATCTTCAATGAGGTTTTTAAATTTTCTGCATCATACGTACTTACGTACTTTTTGGGTAAATTATATAGATTTTATTTGGCCGAATAATGAGTTATTTGTCACACGCCTAATAAGTACTATCTTCTGTCTAGAGTGTCCAGAATTCTGCGGTGCATAAATCTGCTCACTTTAAAAATATTTTTATACAAAAAAACATTTTTAGCATGGGTAGATTTATGCACCGTAGAATTCTGGACACTTTACTTCTGTCTACGCCAATTTGCAAGAAATTTTTATGTTATTGAGATCGTTTACTAAAATTATTTATTGACACAAATCACAGTAGACTGAAGTATACGTAATGCAAAAATTCCTTATTGCATTATGGTGCGGGTTAGACGACAAAAATATCAAAATAAATTTTTGGTAATGATATCAGATAATCATTGTGTTTCCAATATTACATAGCTAATCTTCAGTTGCTTCAAATAAATAAACAAATAACATTTTTCAGTGTTTTTATTATATTGAACCCCAAATTTTGTGCAAACAAATATACGTACATATAAAGAAAATTAATGGATAAATAGATACAATATCATTATTCTATTAAATAATCTTTATATGTACATACATACGAATATTTGGTTGTTACAAAATTTGGGATTCAATACAATCAGGATCAATCCGCAAATCCGCCGATATACATAGAGCAATTCTACATACACTTGTGAATTGACGATCATTAAGAGTGCATTATACGTATAATGAAGTTGCGTTTTTGATGTTCCGTAAATTTCAACTATTCCATGTTTTCTTGGTAGCTCGTACTTTTCAAATTTTTTTAATATACCGTTTAACTATATATGAGCACAATAAAAATCAAATTTCGGCTTCTAAGCTTATGACTTATCAAAATCAATCCTTAAACAATTTGAATTGAGCCTGGTAGGTTACAAAGGCCTAAAGGCCACTTGTGCTGTATGTATATACGTGACTAAATAATTAAAGGCAAGTGTTGACAGGGTGTTACCTTCGCAACTTATTATTATCCCGCATAATTAAAATCATTTCTTTATTTAAAGTTAAATGAACGTGAATGGCTGACAAATTTACGCTAGACCTATTTTAGCTAACTATCCCAGCAGAGTAGCATATTTTAGTGACCTAGAGTCCATCACTAATTGAGCGATGAGTTGAGGATGTCACGAGGTTGTTGTAGTTAGTAAATAATTTGTAGAGAAGGTCGCGTAACCGTTTTAATGGAGTGCTAGTTCTCGAATTATAAATGGTGCTTCCTTAAAATTACACCTAACAATTTATACATATCTTTAAATTGGATTCCATTTCACGCATTCTATCTTGGCTTCTAAACCTTATTAATGTATATAATTCATATTGTTTTATAACTTTACTTATTCTGTATTTGCAATAATTACAATGTACATGATTTTTGTTAAAGTCATCTATGAGTCCTAATTGTGTAAAATGATTCCAAATTAATCTTTTCAATGACATGATAATGAAGAGAATTAAAAAACTCATTTATATTTGCATATATATATAATTTTCATATGATGCTGGAAGCCTATACTTAACAGTTACATGAAGTGGTTCAAAATTTAAATGACTATAACGTTTTATCTGAGAGGTTTTTAAAAAATCCACCCAGTAACTCTATAAAGCTATATCAGCTCTATATATGTGCCAAATATCTTTTCAAAATCTCATTGTAAAGAGTTGATGCATTTTAAAAATTGAACTTTTATATGTAAATTTATAAATTTATACGTATATAAAATTTCAATTTTCAAAATGCATTACTCTTTACAGTGATGAGATTTTAAAAAGATATTTGGCACATATGTAGAGCTGATATAGCTCTATAAAGTTACCGGGTGGATTTTTTTAAAACCTCTTAGATAAAAGTTATAGTCATTTAAAATTTTGAAACACTTAGTGTAACCGCTAAGTATAGGCTTCCAGCACCATATTAATTTTATTTACTTTTTATATAAATAAAATGTACATAGTGGCATGGCCTCACCATTAACATTAAAAAAAAAAAATTATACATAGTATAAAAAAATGAAAAATTTATTTATATTAAAAAAATGTTAGACATCATCAATCATCGATTACTAAAATTGGCTTTATCAAAAATTTATTTCGCGCGAGAGATAGCATCATGCGATTAATTTGCGCGAAGATAATATCACCACCTCACGCGCGGCACATCTTTACCTCTAACCCTCAATTATATCCTGACTTTTAATAAACCCAAATATTTTATAATAACACTTTAAAATAGTTTACAAATCTGTCCGATTAGCAGACTCCATTGGTTTTATGAGATTGATTTTTAAACGCCAAAATTGAGACATTTTTTAAGGTTTTCCAGTTTTCGATTGCAGTTCTATAAATAAAAATTTCAAGCATTTAAATCAAATTATAAGACTTATATGAAAAAAATTATAACTATAAAATACCTCTTCGCGTAAATACTATTTTTATCTAATTTGTCCAAAAAGTCAATAGTGTGCATCAAATCTGTGATAAAAATATCGCATCGTTCGCGCGAAAAATCTTCACGCACCACAACGCGTAATAATTTAACATGTTGGATATTCGGTGCCATAGTGTAGGCTGGCACAATCCATTGATGTTCACGAATACGTTGGGCAACATCAAACTAGCAAGATTGTTATGGAAAATTATGGATATCATGAGTTATATCTATGGCATTGAATTAAAGAATTCTACAAACCTCATCGTAATGTATATTCTTTGCTTTCAATTTAAAAGCCACAAGTGGTAATCCATTACCATTTCTATCACTCAAAATTGTAAACTTATTTGTAGCTTCTAGCCTGACACTCAAATAATCAGCAATATTCATCAAATTTTTCATGATCGAGGTAAATCCTTGACGTCCAAGTCGAATTAACACATAATATTGGGCAATCACGTTTGCAGCGCCTTTGGAAAAATTTAAGGTGAAAGTAGCCTTAAGAAAATAAAACACGCACAAAAGTCAGATTTATAATAATAGAGTTATGGGTACAGTCTACAATCTCGATTTCTCAGAAGCTCAAAGTAATAATTTCGAACTCGGGTAATTTAATAATACCTCTACTGTTGAGCTTCTTATTTTCGATATTTTATATAATGAATCACAAATTTATAAATAAATAATTAAATTATATACTTGATCAGATCCAAGATAATTCACGTTAAAAATCAACTCCTCAGGCAAATACTTTCGTGATTTCCAAATAGCCCATCCAACGCCCGGGTAACATAATCCATATTTATGACCCGAAACATTTATAGATCGAACCAATTCGAGTCTATTATTATACAGACAATTAAATATATCATGAACCTACCATTAATACAATGGCAGTCAAAAATATTGCACATGAATTAAAATTTTGAATTTATAATCTTGATGGTACTCAAAATGAAAATCATGATGCAAGTTAGAATTATGGAATATATAAATTTATAATTAGCCGTTAGATGAATTAAATGAAATAATACGCAGGGATATGAATTTCGGCCTATTCTAATAGTGCGCATGTCATTATTTCGCGAAAATACGGTACATATAGGCTGCCGTCAATAGAAACAGGCAAGATTAATATTTATAAAAAAATTAATATTCTAAATTTAACAGCCTATATCTCGATAAATTTAATGATTCAAGATTTAATAGAAAGCTTAGATCACAAGCTTTCTTTTAGTTATTGAAACTTTAAAAATTCATCCAGATCGAGATATGAACTGTTAAAGTATTGAAATGTCATCTGTCTGTTTTCTATTGACGAAAGCCTATACGTTAAAGACTTACCATTAAAGAGGCATTATAAATTTAAATTTTTAATTCATGTAGCAATATTTTATATGATTTCTCCGACACCTAATTTCTATCAATACTAATTTCTAAATTAGTCTAACATTAGCTGTCGGAGAAATGACTGATAGGAAAATGAGTAATAAAAGGTATTAACCTGAAATCCCAAACAAGATCAGGGTTCACAAATGGGGCAACAAATCCACCAGCTGCAGCATCAACATGAATCGGCACATCCCAACCATTTTTTTGATTTTTGGCTAGCAAAAGGTCATTAACTGATTTCACATCTTCATAATGCCCTGTATATGTAGATCTAATTTGGAAGTAACCAAAATTAATTTTGAAATTAATAATAGACTAGTAGAATGGTATATTACCCTAATAGAACACAAACACCGATTGTGTTTTCGTCTACAAGTTCAACAGCCTTTTCAGGATGTAGAATGTATGTATCTTCAGTCAGATAAACGAATTTTTCTTCGATTTCAAAATATCTAGTGGCTATAACAATTTATTTATTAATCAACAAGAAATTTGAAAATTATAGTACAGTATAAAGAAAAAGTAAACCTTTTTCCCAACAAACTTGAACTATTAACAATTAAAAAGATTTATTATTAGATAATGTCACGTGAGTTGCGTCAAATAATGAAATTAGTTAGCTACCCGACGCTGCCATCACTAAGTTCGGCTTATCGACAGGTTTTCCTTCAGCAATCCTCTTGTTTTTCCATAATCTTTTCATTGACAATACAGCAAGCATAATGGCTTCTGAAGAGCCTATAGTTGAAACACCTATTGATTCATCCATTGGAGCATTAAAGAGGCGAGCAATAATGCTAACGCATCGATTCTAAAGCATGTTGTAAAATAAATTGTATTATCATCGTACAATTAATGATACTCGGAATAAATTTGTACCTGCAATTCAACAGACACAGGATACTCTTCGTAATCGATAAAATTTTTTGATAGGTTTTCTTTCATTAACTTTTCAGCTTCATCTTCCATGTAAGTAGTAACGAAAGATGCCAAGTTCAACACCGGGTTACCATCCAGCTTGTATTACAAAGAAATCAAAGTCAAATAAACTTATTACTTTAGCCAAAATAATTAACGAAAGTATAATAGTACCTGAAGATCATCTTTAATTAGCTTATAGGCAACATGTGAGGGCATTTCATTGTCAGGTAATGAATATCTGTTAAAAATAGTTACATAAGTTTATTGATTAAAAAAAGTCCACTACGAATTTAATCGATCTTACTTTGGAATAGGTTCAGTAGTCCAACGAGAACCATAAACCGAAGTTGAGAAAACCTGATACCATCCAAAATATACACGCGTTTATTATAGATTCAGTAACAGATTACTTTATCAAAGATACAAACCTGCTTGCTGTGTTCATCTTTTTCTTTATCTAATTGAGTATCAGATACGATATTACTTAAGTAAACCATTTCAAAAGTTTTGCAATAAAACAATAGCGAAATACTTTGAATACCGAAACATTTTTTTTATCATTTTAAATAAACAGTTGAAATTATGACATAACAATTATGTAATAATAATTATGATAAAAAGAACATTATGAATATTGCAGGAGTTAGGCTAATGCTGCAATAATTTTCCTTATAAGATCATACGATATGTCATACGATTTAAAGAATGAGACAAAAAGTACGTACTCAAATTAGTTAGTCAAAATTAAGTATCGATAAGAAACGTTGTCATGGACAATAATGGAATTGCTCGAAATTTTTTTTAAGTAAAATGTTTGGAACTGAAGAAAATACATCATATATTTTACAATAATAATCATAGTAGTTGAACAAAAATATACAAACCGTCGATATTATTGAATCCTTTTACTATCATAACCTGAAAGCAAGAATCAACGTTGGCTAGGAGTAAATGCATAATGATTAGTAAAGTTAAAAAATGTGTATTAGGTAGTTTCGTCAATAACTTCACTCATTTGATCGATCTATTTTGCTAGTGATTACATAATGGTAAAAAAATGCCTATGTTAAAGTATGCAAAACCTACATTTTCCATATTATTATAATTATTAAATAACGAGTACCCTGGTTATAAATGGCGAGTAAAAAATTGAGTTACGATTGTCAAAACCGGAAGAGCAGGCAAATTTACTTGGGCACAATTCACTTTATAAAAAAAGTTACACTAGAAACTTTTTTTGTTGTAAGCCCAGAATGAATATCAATTTAAGGTTTTTGTTTTGTTTGTTAAAAAAGTTTTTCGTTTTTAACTTAATGATTAGTAAAATAGCAACTATATCAAATTTTGTTACAAAACCGAAGATTAGTTTCAGCTACTGGTCAGATAATCGAATTTATCATTATAATTTGAATATACGAGAATAAATACATACAGTAAATGGGAAATATCATACCATTTTAAGTTAGAGCTTGGATCCGTTATCCGTTGGATAATAAAATCAGTCGGATATCCGTGAAACTTAATACGAAAACGGATAACAGATCCAAGCTCTACTTTAAACATGGATATAAAAAAAAGGTCTTTTGAATATTTGAAAACCCAATAGCTGAATTTTACCTAGGGATAGATCAGTCCTGAAAAGACCCGGCCTTTTTAACCAGTCTTATGGTTAACCGGTCTTCGGTCCTGAGACCAGTCTGGACCAGTCCTCAAATAGCTAGTTAAAACATATGTTACGTACTTTTTTATTTTTATTTGCTCCGCTATGTTTAGAGGCTTAAATAATTAAGCACCGTTATTGGACCCGAAACTGGACTGAAAAACATTATAGACCGGTGTTTTTAGGACCAGATTTGTCTATCCCTAATTCTACCGTAACCAACGTGTACTATTTAAAGTCTTGGCGGATCAACGTGCTGGCTAAATTGAAGCAGATGGCGAAACAAAAGAAAGTATAGTAAAAAAGCAACTAAAATATTTTGCGCAATAACTTTCAGTTTAAAAGAATCCCAGCTAGTAAGTTCTTTCAAATTTAGCTAGCTTCGAATCATAACCAACGTGCACACGTGCACAATTATATTTTCGTATTGGACAGACTTTATCAACGAATTCAAAAAAAGAGTCTTTATACCCGGTTTTAGAACTTTCAGAATTTATAATATTCTTTTTAGAGTGGGATCCGTAAATATCCACAGATAAAAATAGATATTCAGTTATATGTACAAAATATGTGAATAGTCATGAATATTCTATGAATATTTACTTAGAATATAGCCAGAACATAGCTAAATTTATATTCAACGAATATCTGGGAGTTCTTTTACGGATATTTATATATAATGGATATTCGTTCGTGAATGACTATAATCCGAAAATATTCAGCAAATCCAAAAGATGTTTGTTATAAAAAGTTTATCGTAAATAAAACAAGAAATTAAGAAATCGATGATATTTGTAGAAAAAGTTCTCTAATAAAAGATCGAATTCACGTTACTTCTTGTACTCCTTGCAGATATCAATTGATATTGATTTTCTTGGTCAGCCAATCATATTAATCTCGTTATGCTTTGTCCGCCCTTACCTTGCTCGATTGGAATACTCAACCTACAATCTTGGTTGGTCAAATTCATATCTCCTGGCCAAAATTATGCTATATCGCAAAAAATATCAATTGCCCTATAATTTTGGTCTAAAAATATAAATCAATATTTTTCTGTGTCCCTGACTTCTTGATTATAGTTTGGTAAAACCGACCGTAATTTCGAAAAAATATAGATTTTATCAGTCGTTTCGTTTAAAAAAGCAAAAACTTTAACGTAATGGCTTCGTGTTACATATTTATATTGTCAGAATCGCTTCTAAGGCAAGCGGAACAACTGGCTTAATAATATAACGACAAAAGGTGTGATTTAAAATGCAATCTTTTAAAATTTTATGTTTTAATCAGAAAAATATAGATTTTTTTTTTATATATATTTTAAGTCGAGAAATCCTATTGTATATTTACGATAGAAATAAACACTCAACCAAAACAAACTTGACCTAGCTTATTCGCCGTAAATAAAATATAAAATCCTTAAAAAAATTATAAAGCATTGCTGTCGATTCTGTTCACACCTCAAAATTTTAGGGTGCATGCTTATAAATTACATATCGATATCGACATATAATATAATTAATATGTAATTGAGTCAAATGACCAGATTCGCATTTTAAACCAAATAAAAAAACATATATGGGAGCTCGTCAATAGAAAAGGCGTAAAAAGTTTTTAGTAATAATTTTTTTTTATTTTAATTTTATAACTATATAGAATTAAAATAAAAAAAAATTTTATTAAATTTGATATAGTATTATTGAGATATTTTAATTTAAAATTTAAAAAAAAGTTACTAAAAACTTTTTATGCCTTTTCTATTGACGAGCTCCCATATGTATAACGATAGCGATAGTACTAATTATATATTTAACTTATTAATATATGTCGGAGCATATACAATTAGCAATTAAATTGGAGGTCTGAACAGGATATTAATCGGTGAAGTTATCAAAAACCATCTAGTGTAGCTATTTATCTGAAGTAGCCGCTTTAGATATTTAAGTAACGCCTAACCAGAAAGTTCTAAATTTTGGGTGTTTAATTTAGTCAAGTGCTACTTTAGCTATATTAAACCCGAATTTCCTTATGTCAAGAAAATCCTGAGCTGCCGGCCAAAAAGATACGGGTCGTAGTATATCAAAAATTCTCTATATATCTAACATTAACAATCGTGTCTTACAAGTAAAATTTCGTTCTGAAAAGTTTTACTTAGAGGTCGGAAGTTAGTCATCATAATAAATTTTTGTGTTATTTACGTTTTTTTTACAATTTCTTATGTTTTTCGCGTTTGGTTTGTTACACGAGATCATGTGATTTATTGGATCCGGATAGGGTCGGAAGTGATCTTCAGCCAGGATTTTCTTGACATAAGGGTACCCGTTCAGGAGTGTGACAAACATAATTAATGTAAAGGCATTAAACGACACAAAATAAATTCGTTGTGATAGTATATTATTTACTGTATAACGGTTTCCGTTTTTCTAGTTACTATGCAACGTGATACCAAAGTTACGTTTTTGATGCCTTCAAAGTATCGTTCCTGATTAATCCATAATAAGAATATCAAAAACGTAGCTTTGAATTTTCCGTCTGTCTCCACTTGCATATTTGTATAACACTAGAAAACAGAAACCGTTATAAGTCCGGAGCGAAATCACATGAGATATGTTGTGTTACACAATTATGCATGTGGATACAGACGGAAAATTCAAAGTTACGTTTTTGATATTTTTATTATTGATGCATCAATAATGATACTTTTGGTGCATCAAAACGTAACTTTTGTATCACTTTGCATAGAAATTGAGCGTCCTCCGCTACGCTCCGGACAATAACAAATCTCGCTCCAGACTTATAACGGTTTCCGTTTGTCTGAATAAAATAAGGTGATGAATTTATATTTATGTCATTTAATAATTTTACACAGTAGTAATTTTATTACAATTCGATTTTTCAAGAAATCACCATGCTTATAAATATACCGACAAAAATCCAATAATAATAAACATTAAAAGCACAACATTGTGGTAACAAATGTTACAAATGACGATATCGAAACAAAATCTTCTCTAATAACGAAAGCAAAGCAACAAAAATCTAAAATCTCTCTAATGACAACATCAAAACGATGATAGTTTGAAAATTGCACCCAGGAAGGCATCAACTAATGACGATTTCGATGACGAACGATAACTATATTAAAAACTGAACTCCAAAATAAACAGTTTACAATGTAAACAAAATAAAATAAAATAACAAGATAAACAAAAAAAAAAACCTATTAGTTCATATGGCTTGTGATATCATGATTTGTAACGATACATACTATAATGTGAAATTATTAATAATAAATGCAAACTAATATATAATAAAGCACTTACCTAAAGAATACTTACTTGTCCTAGTCACTACACAACAGTATATCTTATGATCAGATTTATAACAACCTAAAGTTATATCCTAAATAGAACGCGGAAAACAATGTGAAAAAACATTACATTTGGCTTATTTAGAGTAAAAAAACAGAGAGAGGTTTAATTGTAGTAGGAAAATTTGAAGATGTAGAAGAGTTTTAATTATAGTTAAAAAATTTGAATATATAGAAGAGTTTTAATTGTAGTAGAAAGTTTAAATTTATAGAAGAGTTTAATTGTAGTAAAAAGATTTGAATAGATAAAAAGTTTTAATTGTAGTAGAAAGATTTGAATATATAAAAATTTTTTAATTATAGTAGGTAGTGATCCAAATCGTTAGTTGAAAAACCAACTAGTTGACAACTTTCCAACTAGTCTATTTGGAAAATTTTGAAACAACTAGTTGATTAAATCATCAGCTAGTTAAATTCCCATCTATTCATGTTGATTTCTTTAGTTTGATTGACCAATCAACAAATTTAGTCACATGATAGGGAAAGTTTGATTAGTTGAAACTATAGTTGGCAAATAATCGATTGGAAAAATTTTTACCAACTCGGAACACTAGTAGTAGGAAAATTTGAATATATACATCAAAAAATAAAAAATTTTTGATAATCACTTTACCAGTCACAAGATCCCATAAAAAAAGGTCTGATTGGCTGATGCAAATCAATCGTCCGAGTAACTTATATAAGAACGCGGGTAACCAATCACCATTCATAGGTGACTATCAACCAATAAAATCAATACAAATTATTTAGCGAAGCTTTTACTCTTCTATGCAATGAATTAATTTATGTATGATAATAGTATTAAGTTTATTAGTAAAAAAACTCGTCAAATTAAAGTTTTTAAAAAGCTAGAGCTTATAACGTCTTAATCATCTTTAAAAGTAGGATTTAGAATTTATATATTGCTACAGACTGCGCAAAACACTGAAACAAAATTTTGCGCATATTTCTTTTGAACAGATATGCGGATACCGCAAAGAAAATTAATATTTTAAATAAATAATGCGTACAATTGCAAAGAGTTTCTCGTAGTTTTTATTTATTTGCCGCACAGAAAAAGTTTTCAAATTGCACAGTAAATTTTAACTGAAAACTAACACTGATTACAACTATTACTAGCAATAAATATTAAAAAATGTGCTAAGTGAATTTCTCGTGATTACTGATTATTTTTGATTATTCTTACAAAGTGAATATAGACGTTCTCTCGATGTTATAAATAGCTTTTATGGAATTAATAAAAAGCCACCGATCGTAGTTGATATATAAAGAACCGACGAAAAGTCACTTTCGACACTCTTTTCCCCTTCAATACAATAGTCTTAGACAAACAAATGTTTCGATTCAACCCTTATTCCCGCTACAGATGATAGTCTTCTGATTCTGCTATTTTCCTATTTAACAGCAGCCTGTTTCAAGCAGGCAGGAAAACATCTTCTCGCTCGTTCTACTGTTACGATGATACCTGGTGCAATCTCACTTGCTAATTTTCTGGGTGCATATCATCGGTTCAGTTCGAATTACTTAGCTAAAATTACTCACGATGTGTTCTGCGGACTTCAGGTCCTTTAATTGAATTTATTCCCGGCACCTTTGGCTAGCCGACATTCATCCAAACTCTACGACCAGTTGTACCTATGCTTTTCGTGCAAACCTGATCAGTATTTCAACGCATATTTGACAATTATTAATTATAGTATATATCGATACCGATATCTATATTTAATTTATAAGCATGCACCCTGAAAGTTTGGTGTGAGAATCGGCAGCAATGTTATTACTTTTCATCACGACCCAAAATTTAAGATACTCATAATCAACTATGTACCAGTATATCAGAGTACTATTAATAACTTAAATTTAATGTCGTATTTAAATTTTAAGGTCTGAGCAGAATTTTTCGTAATGTAAGTCGGAACAAACTGGTGGTCTGAAAGATATTTCTCCAAAGAATAAAAAATAGTGATTGTAGCCGATTTGGCGTTAGCCAATAAAATCGACTTAGTCGACTAAGTCAGTCGATTTTTAAAAAATTTGATTTGGTCGAATTCGGGATATATATATATATATATTTACATACCGATATTACAGACAATCGACTTTGTGTATCCAGCTAATCAATTTTTAATTTGTCGACAAGTTTAGGTCGACTACAAACTCGAGTTTGGTTCCATGATTTTTAGAATTGAATTTTAACATGTGAATAAATAAAATAGATCTAATAACTTCTTTTTTTTTTTTTTTTTGAGCTTAAAGGTCCGGATTTAAGGTGGTTAAATAGAGCAGTCTGCTCCGGTTTAGCACTGGGTTGTTCATTTTTAAAATTTGCTACGTTCAGGAGATAAGACAGGCATAACCCGGTTACTTAAGTGCGAAACAATCTTTTGGCTAATAAAATGTGTAGATAAATCATTGTAATTAATGTAACTTAATGTACGCATGTACAATAAATAACAACAGGCATTGACGCAATCAATAGCGGGAACAATAATTGACTCGGTTTATCAATTAATTTGATTGTATGTGACTTTTATAAGTGCTCTCCAAATGCCAAATCATTATGACAAAGCTTTATGTTTCTTACATGCTAAATCTTGCGATATTAATGTCATTCATACTTCATCGTTTTTTAAAACCTCATCATATAGAAGCTGAAACTTTAAAGAGTCGACAAGAAAGGCTAGGTAAAAAACAAGATACACAATTATGCACTCTCCAGACCACTGAAGCAAACACGCATTTACAACGCTCGTGATAGAAAGAACAGAATATACTTGTTCATGTTAGCCTTATAAAATTCATTCACTAGGTGGTTTAAATTAAAATTTTAATCTCTCTTTCCATTCTTAGCTGTTTTAAAACTCTATAAGTATGTAAATTCGAAGTTAATTTGAGACAGGCTTTATCAAAAAAGGTATACATGATTATAACGTATTATTTACTAGGCTGCTAATTAATTTTAGCTATCCTTTTAAATCGTCTTTTGACTAGATTCCATAAACTTTTTTCAGGGATTTTCGTTCTCGAATCATCGACCGATGGCCCAGAAAAGTAAAACGCAAGCGAACCTGCCAGAAATGAGAGCGCAAGGTCACCACGTCTTATGAAAAATTTTGACACATAATTCAGGTGTTAGTTTTAAAAAGTAAAAAAAAAAAAAAAAATTTAAAATGAGGTGCTTTTCATACAATTACCGAGACACTAAGTAAGTATATCTTGTCGGTGGTGGCGCAGGAATCAGTGGCATTTTGTTAATTAATGCAGTGCAAATTTAACTTGGTTTTGATAAGTCGATCGGATCGATTTATATTACTAATTCACGTGATTTTGCACCTACCAAATGTTAGAGTTATGGTTATGTTAGTTTTGATTGGTTGACTTATAAAAAAGGGAATAACTACCGACGCAGCATACACGTGATCTAATTCCCTAATTCTGCCATATTCTAACACTAACTTTGACTATAATGCTGGTCATATTATGTCGTTAAGGTTAGTGCTGGTCATTAGCTGTGTCGGTAGTTATTCCCAATAGTGATGCAAGCGAATTGCCGTAACTTGTCGTGACTAGTGATTTGAACCATTTTATGTCAACCGATTACAACCGGTTGAGATCAATAATCTCTACTTCTTGTTCTTACCTCGGAAATTTTCAGAGCTTAACTCAAAATTTTGATTCACCTTGCTCGTCTCTTATGTTCATTCAGTTTCTTCCCGGACCTTTTCGGTATCTTTGCTCTCTCTTGGTCATTTACATACTTTATTGATCCTACCAACCGGCTACCCGATTCTCGACTGGTTGTACCAGGTCAACCGATTAAGAATTTGCTCAACCGGTTATCCGACATTTATTCGGGTCAAATCACTAGTCGTAACTAGTTACGGCAAAAGTGCCGTAACTTTATTATAACTATTACCATTACATATTACGACAAAGTTATGACAATTCGCCGTGAGACCAACAATATGCACTAATCAGATGATCTATACCAATTAAAATATTTGAATTTTTAAATTATGTTAGGGTTAGGGTTGTGACCGAAAAAAGAGCTTATTTTGTACCAAAATTTACAATGAATGTTTTTTGTTAGTACGCAGAAGGTGGTTTCATAGAGAATAATTGTTAGAAGAAATCTGATTGCTGCACCTAGGGTTGGCAATGAAGCCAATGGAGCTCAGTGGTTTAATAGTTAATCCTGATTGCAAGTGTTGATCTTAGTTATAACGAAATATTAGGTCAGTTGTAAATTGAGACACAAAAGGTTTCAGTAAGTTTAGTACAAAGTCAAAGGTTCCTTACATGAATAAACTACTTTAAAGACTTAGTGATCATGACATATTTGTACTGATAATGATCAGGGCAGTTGGTAGGATAGATAGGTAGATGGATACAGAAACTAGAGTATTTAAATAGAGGATTTACAGTAGGGGTCTGCAAATTGCCTATTTTTGAGGCCTGGCCTGACCTGCAGTTAGGATTAAAAATTTTTTTTAGGCCTGGCCCAGCCCACATTTAGGGTTATCATTTTTTTGCCAGCCCAGTCTGGCCCACATATGTTAAATTTTTTCTTCAGCCTGGTCTGCAAAAATTTCTTATATAATTTTACAAAATTTTAAGCCTGCACTGGTTTACAATTATAAAGTTTTGCAAATTTTTGGTCCAGCCTAGCATGCAATTATAAAATTTTGTTTTAGGCCTGGCCTGGCTCACAAAAATTTGTGAGCTGGGCCAGGCCAGGCTGTAGGACCCAATGCAAGCCTCTAATTTACAGGCAAATTTTAAGTATAACAATTAGTGTAGAACCTTTAAGCAGATTATTTAAATTAAACAATAACTAAAGTTGTATATTCTTTTTATAATTATTTCTTGTAACTAAAACATATTATTAATAAAATTCTAAATCACAAGTACTTATCTTAATATTTAAAAAAAAATAAAAAATAAAAATAAAAAAATAAACTAATAACTTTACTTAAAACTTCAAAAATAAGTTATTTAGTAAGAAAAAAGATTTAAATAAAAATAATTCATTTTTAAATTTATATACAAAAAAAAATTTGTTCAGTTAACTGGAAAATCATCAATTAGTACATATAATTAGGGTTCTGCAACCTGGCATTTGCCTATGTCTTGCAAAAAATTTTAGGTTAGAGACACAAAAATAGGCACAGACATTTAGTGCCTAGTTTTAAAAGTACCTAGCTATAATATGCTTAACAGGTACTTTGTGTTTGGCTTTAAAAGTGCTAAACATTTCTGTGCTAATAGGTATTTTGTGGCTGGCTTAAAAGTGCTTAGCATTTCTGTGCTTATATAACACATTTGCCTAAAAACATTCTGTGCTTGACTTAAAATTGTCAGACACTTCTGTAACCATAGACACATTGTGTCTGACTCAATAATGTCTGCTATTTTTGAGCTTGTACACTTATATTATTTAAATAATGTATTTGAGTATTGTCATTATTGTATAGGAGAGCTTCTAATAACCATGTCAAGTTTTAACTCTGATAGTGTAAAAGAGATGCAGTGCATAATAGAAAATTAAGGAATTCAGATTTTATATAATTAGTAGGCATTTATTATATAAAAGAATATAGATTTATGTATTCTTTATTTTAAAGATGATTTCAAAGAGCATTTCTCTCTCTGAGCTAAGGGCAAGAGTAATCTTAAATACATTTTCACTTTTTATAAAGTCTATGCTAAAAATATAGCATCTATGTTATAACTCTAAATCTATATACTTTCTTATGGGCAACTTATTCTATCAGATTTATACAAAAGCATATACATGACTAGAAGAAAATCATATAGGTTAAGCCTAATATTATAAAGATAAGATTAATACCACTATGAAAATACATTTATGAAAGATATGTAACAACTTAATAAATTAGACAAGCACAAAAGTAAGAGATACAGAAAAAAATTATTTGTTACAGTATTCATTACATTAGTATTAGAATTTTTATACAAATTTGCTTGTCATAAATTATACCTAAATCTAAATATCTAATTTTTATCTTTTTGCTTGATTATTCTTTATAATAACAATTTTGTTACTAATAACTAATGCTTAATTATTCTTTGGTGCAGCTATATTTTAACCTTTTGTTGCTTTTTTCTTAGGACATAATTTTCAATAACACATTTCATATATATAATATGTATTTGGTTTATTAATTGGCTAATGTAAGTTAACAGTATATTATTTGATAAAACTAAAATTCTAACTATTCTTATTGTTCTAGCTATTTTACAAATTTAATAAGTGTTCTTTACTAAAAAGAATTCCTGATATTTCATGAATTTTTAAATTCATACTATATTGTCAACTATAGTAATTTCTAAGATTGATTCTTCTTTTTACAAATTAATATTATAAGCTCTGAATCTTATATCTTACTTAGGCTGACAACTTGATGTGTTACAAATCATGAGGTTGAATATAATATATTACTTATTGCATATACATATTACTTAAATTATATATATTAGATATATGTAATATATATAATTAATTTAATATATTAGATATATAAAACATATACAATATATTAGTTATATAACATATATGTAATAAATATAATATATTAGTTTTATAATATATCAGTAATAAATAAAATTTGTTGTACTCAAATCTTATATTATAAATAAAGGCTGAGAAGGCCAGATAAAAGAATAAGCTTCATGCTTTAAATAAAATAACTCTTTAAGTCTTTTTCTAATAAATTGTTTCTTTATTAATTAATTATTAAATTCTGAATATATAAATTCCAATTAACTATACTATCACTAATTTCTCTAACTCAAATCCTAAATCTGCTATTTAAAGCAACCTAACAGCACAATTATTCTATATAATATCTACTTTATAATTTGTCTAGTTGTTATATTCTTAAGTACTAGAATTAGTTATAGTATTGTGTTTAATTGTTCTAATATATTATTGATAGTTGAGATTTTACTTTGTTCAATTACTCAAAGGATCATAATAATTAAGGTTATAGAATAGGATATCTGAAAGATTAATATTTAAGATTTAAAGCTAGAATAATACAAGACAGAAGAGAATTACTTACCTATAATCCAAACCAATTGGTTATATCTTTGAAGCAATGAATGTATAATAATAATGAATGGCCAAACTTCAACTGCTTTGTCAGGCTTTTTTCATCTTCTGAGAAAGCTTTCATGTTTCAAAAATACTTTCAATCTTTTAGTATCAATTTTAAGATTTGTATTACCATCAATAAAATTTAATAATAGAGAAGATTCTCTAGCTGAAGTAAAGTTATTATACATTAAAGTCAGATTAAATTGTTTAGAATTGTTTAATTAAATTCAATGGGATTTTGATAATACTTTCTCATTAATTTTTTTATCAACATTTTGTTTGAGTAATAAATTAACTAATTCAGGATTAACTTTAATATTATTACTAAGATAAAAATCTTTATGAGTTAATGATATATTATGTTCTATCTTATTGTATATATTTAGATTATCAAGATTGCTTTAAAAAAATAATATATAAATAAATTAATATATCGATATAGTTCTTAAACTTATATCTTCCTTGCATACTGTTACTATTAATTAGAAGAGCTTTAGTAACTATTTTATTCAATTTAACTCCAATAGTAAACTAAAATAAAAAGTTATTTCAAATAGGATAACATAGTACTATTAGTAGGATGGCTTGTTCATATAGATCGATAATATACCAGAGTCGGTTAACTAAATTATGCAGAATTGGGTTCAATTTAAGTAATAGTTACTTTTATTATTATGTAATAAATTTAATTAATCAGATCAATTTGGTAATGTAACTGATGTAATTAATAAAGAAGCATTTAATTTAAAGTTTAATAGCAATAATAAATTATGATGATATTTCAAAATAATAAAAAAATTTAACAAATTTTTTAATATAACAGTTATTAAGTAGTTTTTTTTTATTAGATAAATAAGATTATAACAACTGATGAATTCCAACACTTGAGAAATCGATTCTTCTATTCAACTATTTAAAATATTGAAAACTAACAATTTTATTAAAGACCCAAAGGCCCTGTTTTTATATATAATAAAGTAATAGGAGATATGATAATCAAACATTAGATCTTTAAA